AATGCCTTTGGAAATTTTTGAGCAGAAGAAGAACTGAATATGGCATACACTTTAAAAAAATCCTCTGGAAACTATATTGAAGGTAGATTTTATATCAACATCAGAAACAAGGAGACCATTTATGAATTTAATCCAGGAAAGGAGATAGGTCATGCCCAAGGTAACAGTGGGAGACATGTTAAGAACTATAGAGTTTGGATTTACTTTGGATAGCCAAAAGGATTTCCCAATGAATTGGATGCAGGGCATGAGAAAGACATGGACAATGTGAATGTATTATGCTGAGTATCTGAGAGGGGGAAGGTGTTGTTTACTGAGTTGAGGAAGCCACATTTTCCAAGAAGAATGGTCCGATGATGCCTCCAGCCCAAAATCCGCACCAGTGACATGTTGTGGATGCATTTGTTTCTCAACAATCAGTCGTGGATTTTCTGAACGCCAAATGCGACAATTTTGTCAATTAACCAAGCCATCCAGATGAAAATGAGACTCATCGAAATTCAGCCACATTTATGCAAAACGGTCATGGAAAATTTCAACAAAAGAGTGCGTATGTGCCAGCAAAGCCATGGAGGCCATTTACCCAATATGCTATTCCATACATAACCCTATACTTTATGAATCAATACAAATTTACAATTTTTGACACAGAACCTGGCTACAGAACCTGGGGACCGAACCTGGCTGGAGAACCTAGTAAGAGAACCTAGAGACAGAACCTAGAGAGAGAACCTAGGGAGAGAACATGGCAAAAGATCCTAGACAGAACCTAGAGAGAGAACCTAGGGAGAGAACATGGCAAAAGATCCTAGACAGAACCTAGAGAGAGAACCTAGGGAGAGAACATGGCAAAAGATCCTAGACAGAACTTAGAGAGAGAACCTAGGGAGAGAACATGGCAAAAGATCCTAGACAGAACCTAGAGAGAGAACATGGCAAGAGAACCTACACAGAACCTGGCCACAGAACCTGGCTGAAGAACCTAGAGACAGAACCTGGCTGGAGAACCTAGACAGAGAACCTAGTGACAGAACCTAGGGAGAGAACATGGCAAAAGATCCTAGACAGAACCTAGAGACAGAACCTAGCGAGAGAACATGGCAAGAGAACCTAGACAGAACCTGGCCACAGAACCTGGCTGAAGAACCTAGAGACAGAACCTGGCTGGAGAACCTAGACAGAGAACCTAGAAACAGAACCTAGAGACAGGACTTGGCTGGAGATCCAAGACAGAACCTGGCTGGAGAACCTAACCAGAACTTCGCTGGAGATCCTGACCAGAACTTGGCTGGAGTTCCTGGCTAGAGATCCTGGCTAGGCTGCTGATCAACTGAACGCTGTCTCCGTGTCATTCTTTCTTCGCCTACTCCGTCCACACCTTTGGGGACCCCTGGACCTGTTGGGGTTGGACCCCAGCATCTTGTCATCAACACACACCTATTTTAGATGGCTTAAAAAGTGAAGTAATTTGCCCAAGCTTGCTTAAATTTCTAAAGGCTGTAGTATTGTCTTGTTACCCCCATTAAATATTTGGGTGGGGGGGAGGGAATCCATCCTGATATTATTTTATTATCTTGTATCATTTTTCTCTCCTGAATTATATTCATTTGAAAAGCATCATATAAAAAAAATTTTACAATTTTTAATTATAAACCTATGTTTTCTATCAAAATTACTTCTTGCGTGAATTTTGGGACACCCTTTAGGAACAAGCAGTTCCCAGGTGAGAGCAACAACAAGATACTAGTACCAGGGAGACACTCAGCCCCAAACCAGCACCAAGTGGGGGACTGAATCCTTAGGCTGTGACTCCACCGCGATCTGACTCAACCAAGAAGGAAAATCTCCCAAATTCATGAGCCACAAACTTAACCATCAGATGCCGGCAGGCCACCACTGGCCAGAGGAAAGGTGGTACTGCCTGGGCCTAGAATATGCTCCGAGGGCCTAGGCACTTAGCTCTGGGACTGCACTTCCCCACCCCCATGTAGTCACAGAAGCCCTTCTCCATATTCCCAGATCCATATTGAAGAGAAGCAGAAATGGGGAAAGCATAAACACAGATTTATCTAAAAGACTGAATTACATATCAGGTGCTATTTAAATTAGCAACTGAGTTTAATGAATTAGACTACATTTAGTATCCCTCCTGCCTGCTACCCACTAAAGGAGGGCTTCTTAACATGATTAGATGAATTATGAAAAATACAGGAGCTGTACTTTCTTTGCATATTTAAAGGTGGTATGTAAATTTACAATCAAAGAAATTTATAAAAGCGTCTTGTCAGCTGTGAAGTATTGACTCTGAGAGGGTAGGAGTGTGAAAAGCCCTGAAGTGTCATCAGTTTGGGACCCAGAACACATATTTGGAAGTTACCATAAGCCTGTGGTTAGTTAGGTAAAACTACTAACAGATGAATTAGACTTCAGTACCTGAGAAGATAACAGAATTAAAGAGGAAATAGTAAATAATTCAGGGAATTAAGAGTCACATCAAATATTATAAGTTACTAGAGGCTCAGTGCACGAAATTCTTGCGGGGAGGGGGGGTGGTCCCTCAGCCCGGCCTCCAGTGACGCCAGCATCCCTCGCCCCGGCCTCCAGCCCCAGGCCCCTCCACTCCCTTGCCAGGGCAACACCGCCAGCATCCCACTCTGGCCACTATGGGCACTGCCATATTTGTTGCAGAGTGACAGTTAATTTACATATTACTCTTTTATTAGATAGGATATGATGTGGTTAGGGATTTAAGAGACAACCATTGTTATTTTCCATGTCTTTAATCAAATTCAAACCAGTCAATGCCTAATAAGCCACATTAGCAGAAAAGCCAAGGTTTATCCAGTCTTAGGAATTACCCATGAACCATGGGAACTTAGTCAAAGGAGTGGTATGCCCTGCCTGTCACCCAATCTGCAGATAGCAGCTCAGAAGACCTAGATGTCAGAATACCTGACCAGGCATCTCAAGTGTGTGGCAGAGGTAACTGGATCCCATTCTAAAGGTATGTGTTCCACAGGTGGGGCCGAATGCTCCTCTTCTCAGCCAGACACCTGATGTTCAAGTTCAACTAACAGCATACAATCAGCAACACACAGAGCCTTTTCAAGTTTCTCTAAAGTGAGATTTATAATGGTAAATTGGTTGACGGAATGTGTAACCTAGATCTCCTCCTTCTAGACCAAAGGCACTGATTTCTCCAGCCACCCAGAGGGTTGCCCACTGATGGCTCACAGCTGAGTCCCTGCCCAGGAAGAGTTTCCTCTGTCTAGTGTATGCACCTTTCTCTGAGGTGCCTCACACTCAAGGACTGACCAGGGTGGAACATACAGAGACCCAGCCCCCTGGCCTAAATTTGGGTCACCTCTGAGGAGCATCTCAGCTTCAGAGCTGCTCACAGTGAACTACATCCCAGCACACCTGCTCCCTCTGGCTGGTCCTGCTGGGCCTGCTCCTTGACATGTGCTGTTCCTGAGAGCTCCCCCAGGAACCCACCTGAACACAAATTTCCAACCTCAGTTTCTTTCCTGGAAAAACCATCCCAGATAAGTGGTTGGTAAACTTTTGACTTTAAAAGTCTTACCCAGTTTTTTCCTCCTCAACTGCATCTTCCATTGCCGAGATTCTGTGTTGGATTGGGCTCTCTCTTTGGAAATAAAACCTTTTCCATTCAGTGCTTAATTTTTGGTCTCTTGATCTTTATCAGGAGGCTGTTCTATCTCCCAATGCCTCAGGGATATAGAATAAAGAATCTAACAAGCCCTGATCAGTTTTTCTCACTGGTTAGAGCATCATCCGGAAGACTGAGGGTTGCAGGCTTGATCCCTGGCCCCGGTTGGTTGTCTCTCTCAAGTCTCTCCCTCTCCCTCTCCCTCTCCCTCTCCCTCTCCCTCTCCTTCTCTCTCTCCCTCTCCCTCTCCTTCTCTCTCTCCCTTCCACTCTCTCTAAAAATCAATGGAAATAATATCCTTGGGTGAGGATTTTAAAAAAAAGAATCTAACCAGTTTGCTGATTACAGCTGCTTTTAATTCCACCACTTTCACATGTTCTCTCTGTTCAAACCAAATTATTGAACCTTTAGTAATTTCCATCCTGTCCACTGTGGGACTGAGATGTTTGATGGTTCTCTCTTCAGCTTTTTAACTTACTCTTACAGATTCAGATAAGATCACAAAGGGAGCCGCAGAGCTGGAGCCCAAGAGCTTTCCAGTACAGCCACCAATCACCAAAACCTCCTCAGGTTACAATCCCAGCCCAGACACTGAGGCCAGGACTGTCCCACCAGCCAGGGGAGTTCGCTATTAGGTTTTTTCTTTCTTTCTTTCAACCTCATTAGGAGCCAGGAGTTTCTAAAACAACAGAGAGTTTTTTATAACATTAATTTCAAACATTTCCCGAGTAAAGGATTTGAAAGTCTTAAATGCATGTCTCCCAGGAGGTTTCAAGGATTAAATCGATTTGCTTATTCCCTACCCAAAACTTAGAAGAGTATTATTATTATAGGGGGAGAAGAGCCTATTTATCACATCTGCCCTGCCCATGACTCTAGAAACAGTGCCCAGAAGGTGAGGCCGCCAGCAACTTTTGAATGAAAGCTTCTTTAGTTAAAAATAATTAAGTCCTGCCCTGACCGGTTTGGCTCAGTGGATAGAGCATCGGCCTGCGGACTGAAGGGTCACAGGTTTGATTCCAGTCAAGGGCATGTACCTTGGTTGCGGGCACATCCCCAGTAGTGGGTGTGCAGGAGGCAGCTGATCAATGTTTCTCTCTCATCGATGTTTCTAACTCTCTATCCCTCTCCCTTCCTCTCTGTAAAAATCAATACAAAAATTTTTTTTAATTAAGTCCTTCAAATTAAGCAGCCCAGTAAATTACTAAATATTGAATTCTGGCTGATAACCAACCTTTAAATGGCAAATTATAAATCCCTTAATCTACTGCTTATGCTTAATTTCAATTTTAATTTGTTTGAGTTATTCTGCAAGTTTTCTTAGGGAGTTTCAGTAGAAAATATGGGCTGAACTTTTTTCCTGAAGGGAAAAATTAAAGATTTACAGAATACAAACACAATTTAACTGAATAAATTGTTATGAGGTTTCACAATGGTAATTAAAACTAATGGCATAAAATAAACTCATAATCTTTCTGCTAATAATTACCTTGATTGTTTGACTTGTAAATAGCAGTTCATGAATGTTTAGTATTGTTCCCTGCAGTGAATACTAACCTACCCTTGGACTTTGTCTGAATTGTCCATTTTAGCTCACTAAATAGAAACGTAGAGAACACTAAATAAATAAGGAGCGAGGGATGAAATATATGGTAATATATTATTTTTGTTGCAGTTTCCCTTAGGAGGCAAGAGACTGAATTTCATAGCCTACCCCAATCCCATAAATGTGAACTTTCTTGCTTTCTCCACCTTGGTAAACAGCACCATTTATCCCAAGCAAGAGATGCAGAGATTGTCCCAGCCGTCTCTCCCACACACCAAATCTTCCCCCAGCAGCGTATGCCACATTCTATAGAGCTCTTCATCCTTGCCCTCCTCCCAAGTCCCACTACATTTCCTTCCTCAGGCCCTCTCTCTTCCTCAGTCTCTTACATTCTCGCAATTATTTCCAAACTGGCCTCCTGGCTGCTAATATAATCCACCTCTAATTGATCTTTCTAAAATGCAAGTTTGTTCAAATCACCTCTTCCCTTTCCTCTGTATAATCTTTCAGAGGTTCCACATTGACTGGAATAAAATCCTTCTCCTTCTCTATATTGTCCTCACCTGGTACTTACATCTCTGGTCTCAACTCTTGAAAATGTACATGTCATGTTCTAACCCCCACTGACCTCCTTATGGTTCTCTGAATACCCTGCCCCCTCTTTCACTCTGTGTCTGTGACACTCCTCCACCCCTGATTGAATGTCTAAGCACTGTCCCCTTTATAATGACCTGCAATCTCTAACCCTGTGGTACAAATACTTTACTTCTGTGTATTACCAAAGTATCCTATTATACTCCTTTGGCTACATTAGCTACATTACATAGCTATTAGCTAGTTGTACTTCCGTCTGTGTCTTTAGGTTCTAAATCCTTAAGGATAGGGGCAAAGGCTTTGATCCACAGTGATTTGATAGGACCTAGTACTTAACAGTTTCTTAGTAAAATTTTGTAGAATGAATGAATTAATGCAACAGGATACAATAAGTGGTAGTCCAGGTTTATATTATTCATTGCCATCTGATATAATTGCCATTTCATTCAGCACAAAACTTAGCACAAAAATGAAAAAGGTGTTGCTATAAAATGTTTCACCATGAAGGTATCTATATATATAAAAGCCTAAGTGACCGGCCAACTGGCCAGTAGCTATGACATACACTGACCACCAGGAGGCAGATGATCAATTCAGGAGCTGCCGAGCTGCAGTCACTTGGCAGCGGTAGTTCTTGGCTGATGCACCTGGAACCAGAAAGGAGGAAGCCCGATTCAGGGGTGCATCACCCGAGAACTGCCCTCTCTCAATCCGGGACCCCTCAGGGGATGTCAGAGAGCCGGTTTTGGTCCAATCCCCACAGGCCAGGCCGAGGGACTCCACCAGTGCACGAATCCATGCATCAGGCCTCTAGTACATCTATAAACCCATCTACAATAAACTCCCAACTGGAAAACATAAGTTAAACAGGCTATCAGAGACCTAACTTCTCTTACTTTCTGCTCCCTCATGCATGACTTCTGGTCGCCACTTCTGCCCATGAATGAGACAACAGCTAGAGCTGCATCCATTGCATCCACATTGTAGGCAGCAGAAGATAGTTTGCCTCCTTCTTTTAAAAACGTCTTCCCAAATATCTCACTCAACATTTCAACTATCTATAATAATAAAAGCATAATATGCTAATTAGACCAGACATCCTTCCAGACGACCTTCTGGATGAAGCCAGGGCTGAGAGGGAAGCCTGGGTTCTGGGTGCCTGCTGGTGGCCAAAGGGAAGCTCTGGCAGGCGGGTGAAGGAAGGCCTACTCTTGCACAAATTTCATGCATCGGGCCTCTAGTCATCTCATAACAACATCTCATAACAACATAACGCTATTTAGTTACAAGGAAAGAGGGAAAACGTAGTTTGTCATTTAGATATTTTGTCCTGGGTATCTATTCTGGGTCACTTTTAGTAGGAAATCTTCATTAATATGATTCATTAATTTACTTATATTACCCATTTAATACTCACAGCAATCTTATGAGATAGTTCTCTGATTACCCCCATTTTCATAGATGAGCTTAGATACAGAAAGTGAAGTAATTTTCCCAGGTCACACAGCTGACATATGGAGGTGGGTGTGTACCTAGAAAAGGCATTTAAGAAATCTTAGTCCATTGGCTTTAGGGATCCTTATTTCTTATTTAAAGACTGTGTTTATTAATTGAATAAATATTTACTGAGCATTTACTATTTTCCAGATAATATGTTAGGTTCTGGGGAATATATCAGTGAACAAGAAAGATAAGCCCCCTTGTACACATAGAGGTTACATTTCAAGAGCAGAGAACAAAGATTAAATAAATACATAAAGAGATGACAGATTATGAACAGTACTATAAATAATTTAAATGGTTTGATGTGAAGTGTATCAGTCAGGATAGGCTAGGAGAGTATGCTACAGTAACAAACTGCCTCTACTTGTACAATGAGAGTCAGCAGGAGACCTCTGCTCAGCCAGAGACAGGCTGAAGGAGGCACCATCTCCGCATGTTACAGTGACCTAGGCAAGAGAGGAATGTTGCATGTTTCACAATGATAATTAAAACTTCCTACCAGAGATTCAAACATGGCAGCCAACCAGGAAGGCAGGGAGGGAGAGAGTGTGACAAAGTAAAGGAGTGAGAGGGGAGTGTGTGGACATGTGTGGTGTATGTGTGGGTGAGTGAGGGACAGATACATATCTCAGGAGTCCTGGGGACTGGCAGATCGAACTCTCCTAGACAGGGAGCCCCTGTTACTGCTACAGGCACCCCTGGGCTGGCGTGGCTTTGGTGCAGAACACACACCATCTTGTAGAGGAGGAGCAATGGAGGTCAGGAATGCAGCCACACCAACATCCAAACTGACCTCAGACATCACCCCTGGACCTGTTCAGGAAGCTGCTTGCCAGCCATAACCGATGTGGAACCACCACTGTGCTATGGCAGTGAGCAGCAGGGTACCACACCGTGGTTCCAAGACATCTGCAGTGAGTGTGAGCCAGAGAGACCTCCCGAGCTGCACCTCCTCACTGGAGCCCAAACCCAGTGTCCCAGGATTCTGTGCTTCAGGACCACGAGCTATGAGTGCAGCTAGGGTTACCCCACACCCTGCTTCATCCCTGGTCCCAAATCAGAGCTGCAGCCTGATGCATGCTACACTCCTGCCCAAACAGAGCCCTAACCTGGTGCACACCACCCCCGGCACAGACAGAGCCATAGCCCAATGCACTCCTCCCTGACACAGACAGAGCTATTGCCCAGTGTGCCCTACCCCCATCCCAGGACAATGCAGCCAGAGCAACCTGGTGCACCCAGCCACAGGTCAAGGAGCACACTGCAAATGCGCTGCCAGAAAGACCTAGGGTGCCATCCTGCCTTGGGTGCTGGGGCTGCCCAGTAAATTGAATGCCAGAGGGCTCTGAGTCCTTATAGGGAGTCATACATCAGAGGAACTGTGCATGCACCCCACTGACCCCAAGAATATGAAGTAGACAACTGAGGGACAAGAGCTGTGGGGGAAGGGGGTACAACTCAGAGCAGAGACAATAAAGGTGTGAATCTCAAGGCAGACCCAGCCTGTGGGCTAGAGAGTCCCAGATCATTGGACCGCTAGGGGCTTTAACCACTCAGACTCCAAGCAGGGAGCCCAAGGCCAGGAAGAGACAGCAAAAATGGGAGAAAAAGAACCCCAAGGAAAGAAAAGGAGGAAGCACCAGAAAAGGAACTAAATGAAATGGAGGCAAACAATATGTGAGAGAAAGAATTTAGACTAAGGACCATAGAGTTCCTAAACCTGGATGAAAAAAAATCAACAACAGCCCTAACCAATTTGGCTCAGTGGATAGAGCGTCAGCCTGCAGACTGAAGGGTCCCAGGTTCGATTCCAGTCAAGGGCATGTACCTTGGTTGAGGGCACATCCCCAGTAGGGGGTGTGCAGGAGGCAGCTGATCGATGTTTCTAACTCTCTATCCCTCTCCCTTCCTCTCTGTAAAAAATCAATAAAATATATTTTTAAATAAATAAATCAACAACATATGTAAGAACAAATAGGAAATGAAGAATGATATAGCTGAAATAAAGAGCACAATGAAAGGTTTGAACAGTAGACTAAAAGAAGCACAGGACTGAATCAACAAGTTAGAAGACAGGGTAGAAAAACACACCCAATCTGAACAGCAATTGGAGAAAAATATTAAAAAGCAGGAGGAGAGCTTAAGGGAGCTTTGGGACAACATAAAATGAAGCAACATTCATACAATAGGGGTGCCAGAAGGACAAGAAGAGGAGCAAAGTTAAGAAAACCTATTTGAAGAAATAATGACAGAAAACTTCCCTGATTAGGGGAAGAAAAATCACACAAGCACAGAGTCCCAAACAAGATGAACCCAAAAAGATCCACACCAAGACACGTTATAATTACAATGGCAAATGTTAATGACAAAGAGAGAATCTTAAGGACTGCAAAAGAGAGACAGAAAGTTAGCTACAATGGATCTCCCATTAGATTATAGATTATCAATGATTTCTTAACAGAAACACATCAGGCCAGAAGAGGATGGAATGAAGTCTACAAAGTGATGCAAAGCAAGGGACTGAATCCAAGAATACTCTACCCAACTAGGCTACATTCAAAATTCAAGGGAAATTAGGAGCTTCTCAGATAAAAAAAAAAAAAAAAGACTAAGGGATTTTATTACCACCAAGCCAGCAATGCAAGAAATGCTAAAGGGACTGTTATAAAAAGGAGAAATAGAAAGGGAAGAAGTAACACAGGCAAAAAGAATAAAAATGGCTATAAACAAGTATTATTTTCAATAATAATCTTAAATGTAAATGGATTAAATGCTTCAATCAAAAGACATCGGGTGGCTGAATGGATAAGAAAACATGACCCATATATATGATGTTTACAAAAGACCCACCTCAGAACAAGGGACTCACACAGACTGAAAGTGAAGGGATAGAAAAAAATTTTCAGACAAACGGAAATGAAAAAAAAAGCTGGGGTAGCAATACTTATATTTGACAAAATAGACCTCAAAGTGAAGGCCATAACAAGAGATAAGTAAGGCCACTTCATAATACTAAAGGGATCGATACAATGAGAGGATATAACTCTGGTAAACATATATGCACCCAATGCAGGAGCATCCAAATACATAAGAAAACTTCTGGGAGCTATCAAGAAGTTTGAGACAATACAATCATAATAGGGCTTTAATAACCCATTTACATCACTGGATAAAACTTCTAGACAAAAAATCAACAAAGAAACAGGAATTCTAAATGACTTACTATATCAGATGGAACTAATTGGCATCTTCAGAACATTTCACCCCAAAGCTACCGAATGTACATTCTTCTCAAGTGCACATGGGATATTGTCAAAGACCACATATTAGGACACAGGCCAAGTCTCTTCAAATTCAAGATGATTGGAATCATATCAAGCATTTTCTCAGATCACAATGGCATAAAATTAGAAAACAACTACAATAAAAATAAATTTTAAGAAATCAAGCACTTGGAGACTAAATAGCATGCTATTTAAAAAAAATGATTGGGTTGCCAAAGATATAAAAAAAGAAATAAAAATATTCTGGAAACAAATAAAATGAAAACACAACAATCCAAAATCTCTGGGACACAGTGAAAGCAGTCCTGAGATGAAAGTTCATAGCACTACAGGCCTACCTCAAAAAAAACAAGAAAAATGGGTAATAAATTATCTAACCTTACAACTTAAAGAATTAGAAAGAGGGAAACAAGAAAAGGCCAGAGTAAACAGAAGGAATGAAATAATAAAGATCAGAGCAGAGGGAAAAAAAAAGATCAGAGTAGAAAAAAATGACATAGAGACCAAAAACACAATACAAAAGATCAATAGAAACAAGAGCTCGTTCTTTGAAAGGATAAACAAGATTGATGAACCTCTAGCCAGGCTCACCAAGAAGCAAAGAGAGAGGACCCAAATAAACAAATCAGAAATGAAAGGGGTGAAGTAATAACTGACCCAACAGAAATACAAAAGATTATAAAAATAATACTATGAACAACTCTAGTCCAACAAACTGGACAACCTAGATGAAATGGACATATTTCTAGAAAAATACAAGCTCCCAAAACTCAATCAGGAAGAAGCAAAAAACCTGAATAGCCTGATAACTATGGAAGAAATTGAAGCAGTGATTTAAAGAACTTCCAGTAAACAAAAGCTCTGAGCCAGATGGCTTCACAGGGAAGTTTTACCGAGCATTCAAAGAAGAACTAAAACCTACCCTCCTCAGACTATTCTAAAAAATTCAAGAGGAAGGAACACTTCCAAGCTCATTCTATGAAGCCAGATAAATTACCCTAATTCCAAAACCAGATAAAGACAACACAATGAAAGAGAATTACAGGCCAATATCCCTCATGATGAACATAGATGTCAAAATCCTCAACAAAATTCTAGCAAATCGGATCCAGCATTACATCAGAAAGATTATACACCATGACCAAGTAGGATTTATCCCAGGGATGCAAGGATGGTACAATATACGCAAATCAATAAACGTGATACATCACATAAACAAAATGAGAGACAAAAATCACATAATCATATCAATTGATGCAGAAAAAGCATTC